TTAGAAAAATCCCGATCACAAGGGGAGATCGGGACCTTTCCGTGAGACACAGAAACATGTGTTGGGAGTGTGCAGGGCACGCGCTCTCAGCACATATGTGTTTTCAAATGGTACGCAAATATATGACCGCTTGGCGTCAAGGCCCAGCCACCGAGAGGCCGCATATTTGCGTGAAGGGGTTAAATAAAAGTGATATTAAAGGATAAGTTTACCTTTTATAAAAAAGAAAAGTATTAAATGCACATCTTTTTTGTAGGCAAAAAATTAGCATTTTTTATTTTCGTGGGTGCAATACCAGGCTCCTGCAGACTGTCAGTGTGTTGTCTGCCTATACCTCCAAAATTGGCAGGCATTTACTGAATGGCAGGAAGATTGAATGTACTACAAGGATGCTCACCAGTGCCCTCGCAGTTCGTATAGAACTACAAGTCGTTACAAGTACTTGTATCTCATTCATTCACAGAACTCTGTGAATGAATGATGCAGTTGTGTGGGTGGAGCCTTGCACAGCCATGCTGTTTTTAATTCCTTAGCACGAGTGTACACAAATATGTGGCCTCTCGGCGGCTGGGCCTTGGCGCTGAGGGATCGCATATTTGTAAACAAAAGATGTGCTGAGAGCATGCGCCCTGCACACTCCTGCCACATTTACCAGCACCTCACAGAAAGGTCCCAATAGCAACTTGCGGTCTGGAGCTTTCCGATCATGTGACTGCCATGACAGCCAATCACGGCGGTCACATGACCCTAAATCCTGTCCTGCCTTCCGGCATCACAAACCCCTTAAAGGGCCGGAAGGCACCTCTGCCAAGTGGTTAAATTGTGAAACAGTGAATGAGGGGAGAAGATCCCCCGACTACTGTCACAGGGGAGGGGATTTGGGGGGAGAGAAAAGAGAAGCTGGAACATGTTACATGGTTCACCCTAAGACTCGGTTCACATCTGTGCGGGTTCGGCCACTACGCGACCCGCACAAATACCTGCAGCCACACCACCCACACAGAAGAATGTGGGGCTTGTGGGCTGGTGCCACTAATTCTAATGGCAAGCTACCCGCACTGGAAATCGCAACTGTACTAGGAACCTCGGTTCCTGTGCTGGCTGCGATTTCCAAAGAAGTGCAGGGACTTCCCTGAGTGTCCCGGGGCATGAGAGTCCATTGATATGAATGGGCTCTTGTGCCCGCACGGCTGTACATATGTGAACCTGGCCTAAATACTGGTGGAACATGTAACATGTTCGAAAAGTGAACTTATCCTTTAGAGGGTAACTCCACTTTCTTGGCAAAAAACAAAAAAAAAAATAAATAATAATATAGTGTATACAATTGTAACACAGGTCATATTGTAATTGCATGTTATTGAAAATTACCTTTCCTTTTCAGTCTGCAGTGCTGTAATTTTTTTGTAAAATGCAATGCAATATGGCTACCTGTACAAAGATGGCGCATGGAATGCCCCCCCAGAAATGTGATTTACTTCTTGTGTGATTGGCTTACTGATTTTCCCAGAAGTCTGCACTAAGATACAAGTCTGATTTCAGGCATCCCCTGCAACAAAATGTCAACTGTTAGTGGTGTTACAACAAAGTGGAAGCAACTGGGAACAACAGCAGTGAAGTGGTAGGCCATGTAAAATGACAGCACGGGGTCAGCGCATGCTGAAGCACACAGTGCGCAGAAGTTACCAACTGTCTGCAGAGTCAATAGCCTTTAGATTAGCACAACAACAGTGTGTAGAGAGCTTCATGGAATGGGTTTCCATGGCCGAGCAGCTGCCTCCAAGCCTTACATCACTATGCAATGCAATGCAAAGCGTCAAATACAGTGGTGTAAAGAACAACGTCACTGGACTCTAGAACAGTGGAGATGTGTTCTCTGGAGTGGCGAATCATGCTTCTCTGTCTGGCAATCTGATGGATGTGTCTGTGTTTGGCGGTTGCCGGGAGAACGGTACTTGTCTGACTGCATTGTGGCAAGTGTGAAGTTTGGTGGAGGGGAGATTATGGTGTAGGGTTGTTTTTTCAGGAGTTGGGCTTGGCCCCTTAGTTCCAGTGAATGAAACTCTTAAGGCGTCAGCATACCAAGACATTCTGGTCAATTTCATGCTCCCAACTATGTGGGAACAGTTTGGGGATGGCCCCTTCCTGTTCCAACATGAATGCTCACCAGTGCACAAATCAAGGTCCATAAAGACATGGATGAGTCCTGACCTCAACCCTATAGAACACCTTTGGGGTGAATTAGAGAGGAGACTGCGAGCCAGGCCTTCTCGTCCGACATCAGTGCCTGACCTTACAAATGCGCTTCTGGAAGAATAGTCAAACATTCCCATAGACAGACTCCTAAACCTTGTGGACAGCCTTCCTAGACGACTTGAAGCTGTTATAGTTGCAAAGGGCGGGCCAACTCAGATATTGACCCTTACGGACTAAGAATGGGATGCCATTAAAGTTCATGTGCGTGTATAGGCAGGCGTCCCAATATTTTTGGCAATATACTGTATGTAGATAAAGGGCTCTTGAGAGATGTAGTTCTATGCGGCATGCTTAGATCAAAAGGAACTGAGATCCCAGCAGCTGCCCATGCAACAATTTAATGAGCTGGGTTGGTAGTGATGCTGTTTCTTGTTAAAAGAACAAAATAAACTAAAAAAAATAATGTTGGAACATGCTCTAGAGTGGGGGAAGAGGCTTCGGGTAAATTGTGGGTATCAACTGGACATACAGTACATTTTATTGTATTTTCTGTCTTAGACCTATAGTTGATTGTATAAACTTACTTAAAAGATCTTGTCAAATACTTGACGTAACTGTGAAGACATTCCATTTGTTGATATGAATAGACTTTACCTTTAACCCCTATACATAAAGGTTTTTTTTTTTTAATAGGATCGGCTTTTAAATTATCCTGGGCCCTGGTTGACATTACATGAAATGTATAGGCCATTCACCTACAGCTAAAATATGAATTGTGTTTTAGTAACAGGGATAACAGAGGTGATATAATATTTATTTTGTGATGTTAGCTTGTGAAGGTCAATGTAGAAAGTTTCACTATGTCTTAACTGGTTGTGACTTCTATTGCTGTGCTGGCCCCCAGCATGATACCATTCCAACAAATAACAAAGGCTCAGATATTTTCTAGGACAGTACGAAGGGCAGGCAAGACTACCAGGAACTGTAAAATAAAGTGCTTTCGGAGTTAAAGTAGAAGTAAAGGCAAAACTTTTTTTTCTTGCTTCCCATTTTGGTTATGGGAGAGGAAGTGAAGGGAAATCTCGCCAATGGGACACAGAACCCTCCCTTCCTCTATCTAAAATTAAAAAAAGTTTTGTCTTTTTTTTCTACTTTAATAGAGAAACGATTGACAATGGTTTGATAGACCATTGACAATGGTTTGATTGCCAATGGTTTGATAGACTATGTTTGTGTGACTTGGGTAACTAGATTTAGACTCAGTCTTTGCCAACTCCTTAAAGTGGACCTTCACCCTAAAGGTTATGTAATTCTGCCCTGCCACCTCCCCCTTCCCTCTCTTACAATTGGATATTATTTTTTTTTTATGTAGCTAGGTGCTGGCTACATCATATGCCATTCAGGGACATTTACAGATGAGACTATGGTTAATACTTTTCCCTCTTAGTGCCCAGTACTGGGGCTACAACATCACTTCCTGTTAGCAGAGTGGTTCCAATTCTTCTGACAGCAGAGGATCCTGGGACCTGTAATCATATAGCCAATTCATACTGTACTCTTAAGTGCTGATTGAACTACAACTACCAGAAAGCTGAGGAACCAGAAGGTTGCTGGGAAAGCAGATATATTCTACAGCAAGGAAATGGCTCGCTCTCTTGGTGCAGGATTCAAAGCTGAATACAGGGGAACTGCCTTTCTCCTCCAGAAACAGATTGCTGGCTACTACTGTGGGACTCTGCATGCCAGTTCAACACAGTGGTGACGCCGGTCACCACACCGGGATTGCATCAGCTTCTCTGCATCAAGACTCTCACTATCCAGTCTTCAGCCAGTTATCTCTGCTTACTACACTGATAGGCTGGCATTTGGTAGCTCTGCACTTCTCTGCAAACAGCCAAGAGTCTGTGCAAGAACTCTGTTCTGAGGAGACCGAGCTATCCATGGGATTGGTGAGTGGGCAGATGCCCATCCTCTTTCTGACAACACGCTAGAGACACAGCATGCAGACACCTTTACACTTCAGTACCAGGAGATCTTTGCTTTGAGCATATACCACAGCCTATCTGGTTGCTTTGTTGAATTACCATTACTCGCTACTGTATATGGGCCCCACCATTGCTAGCAGGAACTTTAAACATCTCAGGACTCAAGTTGCTATTTCTAGTTAAAGGGACCTCTTCACATCTAAGCCATTGTTATTCACATTAGAGTGTCTACACCCATTTATGCCAGAATATGTATATATATTTACATAATTCTTTGCATTCCCTATTGTGACGCAGGTAGTCCAGAGGGAACTGATAAGTAAACAAGCCTTTTCTTCCCCCTCCTGCTGCTGGCGTTGCAGTTACATAGGTATAATGTACCATTTGTGTCCGTATAATTTGTTAACTGTTGCTATTTGGTTATTACTTTTGAAAAAGCCTAATATAGAGGTGTGACTAAAGAACTGTGTCTCTTGCATTATTATTTCATACTGTTAGGAATACGTCTGAACCCAGAGTGTCAGAGATGTTGGGAGGCTTCCAAAGTCATGGCAACCACTGGGGTCAAGCATTATCAAGTGGCCCCTGCGAGGGTAGCACGACACTAACTTAGTACCGTATTTTTCACTCCATAAGACGCACCTAACCATAAGACGCACCTAGATTTTAGAGGAGGAAAACAGGAAAAAAAATATTCTGAACCAATGGACTGCAGGAGATGACCAGAGACTGTGGACACAGTACAGGAGATGACCAGAGACTGCGGACAGTACAGGAGATGACCAGAGACTGCGGACACAGTACAGGAGATGACCAGAGACTGCAGACACAGTACAGGAGATGACCAGAGACTGCGGACACAGTACAGGAGATAGCCAGACACTGCAGACATAGTACAGGAGATGACCAGAGACTGCAGACATAGTACAGGAGATGACCAGAGACTGAGGACACAGTACAGGAGATGACCAGAGACTGTGAACACAGTACAGGAGATGACCAGAGACTGTGAACACAGTACAGGAGATGACCAGAGACTGTGAACACAGTACAGGAGATGACCAGAGACTGTGGACACAGTACAGGAGATGACCAGAGACTGTGGACACAGTACAGGAGGTGACCAGAGACTGCGGACATACTACAGGAGGTGGCCAGAGACTGCGGACACAGTACAGGACATAACCAGAGACTGCAGACATAGTACATGAGATGACCAGAGACTGCGGACCTTTGGGGAGCGGGAATCCGAATTTGACAGGTGCCTGCTCCCACTTCCGTGGAGAAGACTGAGGACACAGCTGGACCGAGGAACAGGTAGGACCACTGGAGGTCTGCAGAGAAGAGCCAAGGAACCGGCCCAGTATTTTCACACTGGGGAATACCAGGCCGGCCGCTCCATATGATGCACAGACATTTTCCCCCATTTTTTGGGGGGAAAAAAGTGGGTCTTATGGAGTGAAAAATACGGTAACTTATTTGTGCTGTAAAGCGGCTACTTCTCGTTTCTCTCCTAGGCAAGGATTAGGTTTTTTTTCTTCTTTCGGATCCCAAGGGAGCCCCACATCACAGATGCTCATGTGCTGGTTTCTCTGACCATCTGTACACATGTAGGGTTTCCCATAAATTTGCAATTATGTTTATCAGGAAATTCACAAACCTTCACCTTTTGTGCATGCAGTCATGTGCCAATGGGCTCTGTCAGGATCCAAAGTCTGGGTGGAGCCTGACAGTACATATGGGCATTAACAATAATGGTGGTGCCAGAGGTGGATGGCGGGCAGAGCCACATGAGAGGCGGACTGAAGTTCTTGTGGCTCTTACTCAGCAGGGGGCTTGTCGGACCTCTACATTGAAACCACTGCTTACACACAAGAGCAAAGGTCCCATTCTGCAACATGTTGGCAAAGGACAACCTTTTCTATGCAGGCTGTGGCTGCTTTATAAGGAAAATAAACTCTAAACTTTGAGCACACCTTTGTTTTCAAGCATGGAATGTATGTAGCTATGTTAAACTGAAAATTCAGTTGGGCTTTAAATCAAATACTCCATGCTTTGCTTTACATATACAGTATATTGTACATTGACATCAGTCCCTGCCCTCAAGGAGCTTACACACTAAGGAGTCTATCTCACATCCACACATATACATACTAGGGCCAATTTAGACAGGGGCCAGTTAACCTACCAGCATGTCTATGGAGCGTAAAAGGACACCATAGTATCTGGAGGAAAACTGCGCAAACACAGAGAAAACATGCAAACTCCATGCAAATAGTTACCTGGTCGGGATTCAAATTGATGACCCTAGCACTGCAAGGCAGAAGTTCTCTTCAGGGCACACACTTATTACAGATGAATTTTCACTCTATAATGAAGTAGTGTTCTTTTTTTAAATTCATATAATTTTAAATAGAAAGAAACCTTTTTTTTTTTCAATCAAGAGAAAGACCAGTTCATTCTGTGCTTCAATTTACTTCTTAACTGTATAATTTTGGCATCTAAAAATTGCACAGAACGCTTTCAAGTGAGAAGGTGCTAGAACAGCATGCAAAAAAAAAAGGATAAAATACAAATAGCTAAGACTCCAGTTGACAGTCTTTTTCCTAACTGATCTATGACAAATCCACAGCTATTCATGTGTCCATTATTTTACAGTGAAATATGGCAAGTGGCGATGATCTAAAACATAATATGCAGCTGTATATATGGGAAAAAGTCTGGCAGAAATAAAAGGGATTTAGTTGCTGCTTTGGAACACCATACTTTGACGATTTGTGATCAGCTGCTCTACAGTCTTCCATATAGGAGATCCTGCTGGGTTGCAGTGCCTAGGCATCCTCACGGGTAAAATTTAAAAATGGAAAATATTCAGGGTACAGCTTAGGCCCATATAACATTTCTAGATGTTCCCTAACATAAAGCAAATGTTCAGTGAGGGAAGCATAAAGGCTGCCATTGCTATCCTCTCCTTTTTATAATGATATATGCCTGACTACTGATATGTTGCCTGAGACCAAAAATTGGTTTAAACTTTAACTGAAAGACAAATTCTACAATTCATACCATGTTTCATGTTAAACCCATATTTAGGGTGTCATTCCACACCCTCAAACCACCCCCTTGCCTTACCTGAAGCACAGGGTTCTTCTCCCCACAGCCACGTCATCCATTAATATGATCTGTGAATGGAAAAATAACAAGTCTCTTCTCCCACCATGGCAGAGGAACTAGAAGTTCTCAATGGACTACAAATGTGGAGACATTACCACACTCGTCCATTGTTTACTTCCTCCAACTCCATAACCAAAGTCCATACCTCAATACGAACATGGGGCCGGAGGAATAGTCTACAAGAGCCAAAGCATTGCACCCATATTTAGGGTGCCATTCCACAGCTCCCCACCCTCAAAGCACTTCCTTGCCTTACCTGAATCACAGGGTTCTTCTCCTCACAGCCATGTCATCCATTCTCAGATCCATTCACAAGATCTATCAATGTAAAAAACACAATTGCAAAGGAGCTTATAGTTCTCAATGGTCTACAAGTGTGGAGACACCACACATATCCATTATTTACTTCCTCCAGATACAAAACCAAAAGGTCCATACCTCAGTACGAACCTGGGGCTTAAGGAATAGTCTACAGGAGCCATAGCTTTGCACCCATGATCCACTGATCATGGATTCAGTGCTTTGCAGGCTCCAATGCAAAGATTTAAATGCATGTTTTCTTTATTTTGGCAATATGGGTGCATTTATGTATTTATTGTTAAGGTGATTATGCCTTGAATGAACTGTAGGGAGTAGTGATGAGCTCTGGCTTGACTAGGATCTGAACCCATGAGTGGGAGCCCATCAGGTAACTGTCATCTGTATGGGCAAATTATCTTCAGCCAGGGCACAAGGCACGTATATGTGTGGCTGAGGAGATGGGAATGCCCCAGCCACAGCAAAACACCCCTCCAGCAACAATAGATCCACCCCAGCAACAATAGACTTCCACTGGCAACAACAGATCTCCCAGCAGCCTCTATCAATACACCCTCCAGCATCTAACAACCATAGACCTCTCCCTCAACAGGAGATCCCTGCCAGCAACAATTGACCCTTCAGTAACATAACTCCCCCCCACACCACCCCATCAACAGCAATAATTGACCTCCCCATGCAACAATACACCTCAGCGAAATAGACCCTCCAGAGCACCCCTTGCCATAAGATACATTTAGTGTTGGAGCGTTTCCGCTGAAAAAAATGCCCTGGAAAAAGCAATGAAAAACCCTGGAAAAACCTGAACATTTCAGCCCTTACATTTGGAAAAAAAAAGCTTTGAAAGGGTTTTCACCAGACAAGACAGCAGCTTAGACAGTGCTAAAGATACTGGTAATTTTCAAAACAAAAACTAAAGCATGCTAGCAGCATGATTGATTCTGAAGAATGTATGAAATGCGGTTTAAAGTGAAATAAAACCCTACTTATCCTATCCATAATGTATCTGTCAGCGCCTAACCTGTCAACCTTTTGTTGCATTTATGTTTTTGTATGTGTGTGTTTCTTTTGTGCTAAAACACTTTTGTATCCCAACTTCAAATAAGCTCTGTATTCATCCCAGGCTCCATCATGTTCTTTGTTAAAAAAAAAAAAAAAAAAAAAAAATCTGTAGCGGTCTCCGGTTATCACTTTACCTTTTCAATCTCAAGGACTTAATGCACGTTCTTTCCCAAAGCGGCGTCCAGCGTAACTCATCGTCTAAGCTACAGTGGTTTTATGTTGTAGATTCTATTCCATTCATTCCCGCTATCACAGGGTTTGTACACTAACCTCTGGTTTATCTGTCTTACCATCAGCCTTGAATCAATGTTTTCTGAAATGTCGGCTCCTTTCAATCTATTATCTAAAAGGTTCACACCTTTCAAAGTGATGATATTTTAAGTGATTTTTGTTGCTTTTGTCCTTCTCTCTATACCTTTAAAGTAGAACTATGGTATCCCATTGCTGAGTGCTGCCCTTCTGAAAATGTTGCATGCAAGATTTTTGTCCATTTTAGGTTGTTAGGCCCATTCAAATGAATGGTTGCCCAAACATACAGCAGGCGCCCCAACGTATAGGCTAGGTGCACACTATCCCATGTTCTAATAGGAGATCCATGATGGGACTAATGCACCACAAACAATTGGCAAGCGTTTGGCTTGCATTTGCGTTGCCGCCACATTGACTAGAATGGCCAAGTTTGACAGACCGTGCCACCTATCAGCTCGGCAGATTGCATTAATATTTCTGTGATATGTGAACAGCATCCTCCGACTGCTAACATCCTCCTAATGCTGAACACAATACACGTTAGTTTAGGTTCACACTAGCCCATGCTCTGAAAAGTAATCTGCGGTGGATGGCGATTGGTAATTTAATTGGTATTTATGGGGCAAATGTGCTGCTAATGAGAACCAAGCATTTGGTTCATGGTTGCATTGCAGCCACATCGATTTGAATGGCCAGGTTTGAAAGGTGGTGCTGCTTGTCAATTTGGTGCGTCGCATTAAATTGGCCACAGCCAAGATGCAAACCATCTGCATGTATATAGCCACCTTGGGCTGTAATTTACACTTTAGGTGGTGGATCTCAGGGAGCCTGTTTTTACCACCTCCTCAGCCACCTATGTAAAACAGACCTTAATGTGCATAGACTTAAATCCAGACAAAGAGCTATATCGATAGATAAAATGCATGCGATTTATGTTTCTGTGCATCTAGTCCTGAGATTTATACAGTCCAGACACTGCACAGCTAGGTGAATGACACCACTTTCACTGTTGCAGTTGTAGAATGAAGAATTGGAGTCCTGTTTCCATTCCCAGCTTGCTAAGTAGTCAGTGAAAGAGCCGAAGCGGATTGAGGAGGTGGTCTCTCTGCTCTCTCCTATCAGTATTTTCCTTGTCAGCACATGTGCATGCAGCAAACTTTATAGGTTACCAGATATGCCCCTCCCACTTCAAGTCTCAGCCCTTTCTGTACAGGGATTGCAAGATGCTGAAACAAAACAAAAAGAACGCACCAGCCTAATGCATTACCATGAGACCATTTTATTATAAAAGAATATAAATACAATATACTCAAAAAAGTGAACATAAATTTATTCCATTCCCGACGCTGAAACGATGCCCATCCAAAGAGCGAAGCTAGCACGATTCAAGGACAGTGCCCTCTACATCAGAATATTTTTATAATAAAATGGTCTCGCGGTAATGCACTAGGCTGGTGCACCCTCTATTTTTGTTTTATTTTAGTTGTGTTTTAAGGATTACGCTATCAGAAGTGGGCAGCAAGGCCAAAGTTTTTCAGAGATCCTTAAGGTCATTTTTTTCCTTTGTCTGGCTAGACAATAGAGGAACACTGCCTATATATTCTCATAG